GACAGATATGCTTATGTGAAATTAGGTCATTCCTCCTCCTGAAGCTCCTTCCAAGCTCCACACATTGATATGATTTCTCCCCCATGTGGATCCCTTTATGGGAATTCGGATGACCCTTCTGAGTAAAACACTTTCCACACTCTGTGAAGTTATATGGTTCTTCCCCTGTGTGGATCCTTTTATGGGAAGTAAGATCTCTGCTAGTAGTAAAGCTCTTTCCACACTTCATGCATTTTTATGACTTTTCCCCTGTGTGGATCCTCTTATGGGAAGTAAGATTACTGCTTTGAGTAATTAATTACTCTTTGCACACTCCATGCATTTATATGGTTTTTCACGTGTGGGTCCTTTTATGAGAAATAAGAGAATAGTTTCTGGTGAAGCTCTTTCCACACTCAGTGCACTTATATGGCTTCTCCCCTGTGTGGATCCGTCTATGGACAATAAGGTGACTGCTTCTTCTGAAGCTCTTTCCACACTCCAAGCATTCATGTGGTTTCTCCCCTGTATGGATCCTTTCATGGGAAGTACATTCACTCCTAGTACGAAAGCTCTTTTCACACTCAATGCACTTATATGGTTTCTCCCCTGTGTGGATCCTTTTATGGGACGTAAGTTCACTCCTAGTACGAAAGCTCTTTCCACACTTCATGCACTTATATGGCTTGTCCCCTGTGTGGATTGAATTATGGGCAATAAGTTGACGGCTTGTTCTGAAGCTCTTTCCACACTCCATGCATTTATACAGTTTCTCCCCTGTGTGGATCCTTTTATGGTCAATAAGGGTACTCCTCATTCTAAAGCCCTTTCCACACTCCATGCATTTATAGGGTTTCTCCCCTGTATGGATCCTTTCATGGGAAGTAAGTTGACTCTTCTCAGTAAAGCTCTTTCCACACTCCAGGCACTTATATGGCTTCTCCCCTGTGTGGATCCTTTTATGATTTATAAGGCATGTATTATGCTCTTTCCACACTCCAGGCACTTATATGGCTTCTCCCCTGTGTGGATCCTTTTATGATTTATAAGGCATGTATTATGCTCTTTCCACACTCCAGGCACTTATATGGCTTCTCCCCTGTGTGGATCCTTTTATGGGAAGTAAGTTTACCGCTACTAGTAAAGCTCTTTCCACACTCCATGCACTTATATGGCTTGTCCCCTGTGTGGATCCTTTTATGCTCAGTAAGCTGCCTCCTCACTCTGAAGCTCTTTCCACACTCCATGCATTCATGTGGCTTCTCCCCTGTGTGGATCCTTTTATGCTCAGTAAGCTGCCTCCTCACTCTGAAGCTCTTTCCACACTCCATGCATTCATGTGGCTTCTCCCCTGTGTGGATCCTTTTATGGTCAATAAGGTTACTCCTCATTCTGAAGTTCTTTCCACACTCCATGCATTTATAGGGTTTGTCACCTGTGTGGATCCTTTTATGGGACGTAAGTTCACTCCTAGTACGAAAGCTCTTTCCACACTTCATGCACTTATATGGCTTGTCCCCTGTGTGGATCGAATTATGGGCAATAAGTTGACGGCTTGTTCTGAAGCTCTTTCCACACTCCATGCATTTATACGGTTTCTCACCTGTGTGGATCCTTTTATGCAACGTAAGTTCACTCCTAGTACGAAAGCTCTTTTCACACTCCATGCACTTATATGGCTTCTCCCCTATGTGGAACCTTTTATGGGACGTAAGATTACTCCTAGTACGAAAGCTCTTTCCACACTCTGTGCACTTATATGGTTTCTCCCCTGTGTGGATCCTTTTATGATTTATAAGGCATGTATTATTAAAGAAGCTCTTTCCACACTCCATGCATTCATATTTCTCCCCTGTGTGGGTCGTTTTATGAGAAATAAGAGAACTGTTTGTGCTGAAGCTTTTTCCACATTCCATGCATTTATAAAGTTTCTCCCCCGTGTGGATTCTTTGATGGGAAGTAAGTTCACTCCAAGTACGAAAGCTCTTTCCACACTCCATGCACTCATGTGACTTCTCCCCTGTGTGGATTCTTTTATGATGGGAAGTAACTTCACTCCTACTACGAAAGCTCTTTCCACACTCCATGCATTGAAATGGCTTCTCCCCTGTGTGGATCCTTTTATGATTTATAAGGTATGTATTATTAGAGAAGCTCTTTCCACACTCCATGCATTTATAGGGTTTCTCACCTGTGTGGATCCTTCTATGGAAAGTAAGTTTACTTCTAGTACGAAAGCTCTTTTCACACTCAATGCACTTATATGGTTTCTCCCCTGTGTGGATCCTTTTATGATTTATAAGGCATGTATTATTAGAGAAACTCTTTCCACAGTCCATGCATTGAAATGGCTTCTCCCCTGTGTGGATCCTTTTATGATTTATAAGGCATGTATTATTAGAGAAACTCTTTCCACAGTCCATGCATTGAAATGGCTTCTCCCCTGTGTGGATCCTTTTATGATTTATAAGGCATGTATTATTAGAGAAACTCTTTCCACAGTCCATGCATTGAAATGGCTTCTCCCCTGTGTGGATCCTTTTATGGTAAGTAAGAGTACCGTTTTGATGAAAAGTCTTTCCACACTCCATGCACTTATAAAGCTTGTCCCCTGTGTGGAGAGATTTATGAGCAATAAGGTGACTGCTTTGAGTAAAGCTCTTTCCACACTCCATGCATTCATGTGGTTTCTCCCCTGAATGGATCCTTTTATGGGGAGTAAGTTGACTCCTAGTAGTAAAGCCCTTTCCACACTCCAGACACTTATATGGCTTCTCGCCTGTGTGGATTCTTTTATGGGAAGTAAGATCACCGTTTTGACAAAAAGTCTTTCCACACTCCATGCATTTATATGGTTTTTCCCCTGTGTGGGTCCTCTTATGGACAGTAAGTTGACTACTTGTCCTGAAGCTCTTTCCACACTCTACACATTTAAATGGTTTCTCCCCCGTGTGGATCCTTTTATGGGAAGTAAGTTCACTCCTACTACGAAAGCTCTTTCCACACTCTACACATTTAAATGGTTTCTCCCCCGTGTGGATCCTTTTATGGGAAGTAAGTTCACTCCTACTACGAAAGCTCTTTCCACACTCTACACATTTAAATGGTTTCTCCCCCGTGTGGATCCTTTTATGGGAAGTAAGTTCACTCCTACTACGAAAGCTCTTTCCACACTCCACGCACTTATATGGCTTGTCCCCTGTGTGGAGACATTTGTGACTCATAAGGGATGTATTTTGAGAGAAGCTCTTTCCACACTCCAAGGATTTATATGGTTTTCCCCCTGTGTGGATCCTTTCATGAGAAGTAAGGGACCCATTTTCACAGGAAAGAGTGAAAGTCAAATTGTGATTTTTTCTATTGTCTCTGCAGAAAGAATCTTCTCCTTTGGTTTGGGTTGGAGAGTGTTCATTTACAACTAATTGGTCTTTTAATACTCTTATACTTTTTCCCATATACCTTTCCTTTATTTTTCCTTGTTGGGCAAGAAAGCCTTGCGTCTCAGCATCCATGGAGCTTTCCTGTTTCCAACTATTTGACTGGCTTCTCTCATGACTTTCTTGTTTCATTTCTAGTTCCTTTTCCCTTCCGCCCCCCTGCCTGATTATTTTGAATTCTTCACTGG